GGCTTCTGTATGTCTGATAAAGGTAAATTGAGGTCCCCTACTAGTATAGTTTTACTGTGTATTTCCTCCTGTAACTCATTTAACTTGATTTGTCTTCTTTATGTGCCCTCTTGATGTGAGATAATTTACCCCATACTTCCTTTTCTTCCCCCTCTCTCTCTGTACATTCCTCTTCCCTACACAAAAGAAGAATGGTCTTCTTTTGAGATCATCCTAACATAATAGAGTTACACCCAGGCCTTATAACTAATTAGATTCCATCTAAGAGCCTAACTGATGATAAAGTTGAGAGTCATCCAGAAAGCAGTGCAGAAGCATCTGGTGAACAGGAGTGTAGGTTATAATATGTGTGAAGGATGTACTGTACACAAGAAGAGTAAAGAATGTCAGAGAGGTGGGTGACTGAAAAACGAAATGGGCTAGTTATGTGCTGAAAACAAGGGATACGTGATAAAAGGTCTTTTTGATATATTGGCATCCATGCATTTGTCCAGAATCGTAGGGGAAGATTGCTGGTATATAAGGAAGACATAAATCTAGTAGACACGGTCATTAAGAGTTTCCCACCATAGTAGTTCAAATATACACATGTATATATGTGTGTGTGTTGATGTATATTAAATATGTATGTAGATAGATTGATAGATTGGTGGCACTAAGATTTGCAGAGCACTTTACATTCAGAATGGATTGGAATCTGCATCAATAGTTATACCAAACTCCTGAATGATTGTGGATCTAATTTATAGAGATTCTATAATGTTCTAATTCAATTAACATATTTTTGTTTTGCAAACAATAACATCTGGAGAGTTCACCATCTGGACTCTGTGCTGGAGTCTTCCATAATGAGGGCAAACATTTGATGAACATCATCTGCCTTCCTGTTTTATGCTTCATTTTATACTGACAATCACAGTTGGTTAACAGTGATCGAAAATCAGGGTGGCTCAGTGGATAGAATGCTGAGCCTTGAAGACCTGAGTTCAAAATCCGGCCTCAGATACTCATTAGATGTGTGACGCTGGCAAGCCACTTAACCTCTGTTTGCCTTAATACACTGGAGAAGGAAATGGCAAGCCAGTCCAGTATCTTTGCCAAGAAAACTCCAGGACAGTATGGGGTCTTGAAGAATTGGACACAACTGAACAACTGAGCAACAATAACATACCTTTCAGTCAGTGATTTTGCTGTTATGGAGAATTATTTATGAAAGGGTACCTATTCCCATCTTTTGCCAGCATTAGTGATGTCCTTGATTTGTGCTCTTTATTCTCTTAAATTTGTAGGTGGGAAAATGTAGGCATATGAGTTATATTTATTTTTTGATTGTCTTCTTTTAAGAAAATAATAAAGTTATGACATTTCAGTCACTTGTCTTATTTACAAGTCTCTCTAGGAATCTTCTCAATTAAATACCTTAAATCTCTCAACATCATCAAAAATGCATTGCCTTCGATACAGACCTCCTTTATATGTACCTGATCTAAATTAGTTGTACTTTCCATTCCTTTTGTAACTTTTCTACTTCCTCATGTAGTATATCAGGGACAGTAATGTTGAATCCAAAAGTGGCAGCTCTGTTGTCACTGATGAAGTTGAAGTGTTATAAAAGTCTTCATAGATTTTTTTCCCACTTATTGGAAACTATGTTATTATGTCATGTTTCCAGTTGCATTCCTACATTCTCTTGGGACCATTTGCCTTAATTGGGTCTCTTGTATCAAACTTTTTATAATAATAGTTTACTTCCTTTCTACTGCTTTAGTTTATCATTATTGATATCTCTTGTTTATGTCATCTTGATTTTCCACTGTCTCCTCTTTTTTCTACCTAAAGAAATGAATTTTTAAAAAGAGAAAAAAGCTTAGGAGAACTAACCAACATATGAACCTGAGTCCAACCGAATATGTAACTTTTTATCCCTGTAGTCTTCCACAAGCAAAGAGGTTTTCCACTGCTTCTTCATGCTTCTTGCCTGCACACAGTCATCCAGGAGGTTAAGCATTCTTGGGCTAAAGTGATTGGTAGGCACTTTTCATCTTATTGTCATGGCTGACTTATACTAATTAAATTTCCATAAGAAATCAGTTAAACTTCTTTCTCAGTGTCCTTTGTTGGGTCATCATCATGTCACATTCCCTAATTTTGAGTGTATGTATCAGGGCTCTGTTTTCAGCCCTTTAATTTCTTTTTCTATGTTCTCTCAGTGATCTCAGCTCACACAGGTTTAATTATCATGTTGAAGTAGACTGCTTTCAAATCTGTAATGTTCATCTCTAATTTTCTCTTTTGAATTTACTCCCATTGTCACAAATTACCCTTTGGAGCATTTGAAGTGGATATCCCACTGATATCCGAATCTCACTGTGACCAAAACAGAACTCTTCATTCTCTTCCAAACTTTTCCTTTCTGTTGAGGTATCAACCTCTTTATTCAGCCAGTTCCCAATCTTGGTGTCATATTCAGCTTTCCACTCTTACTAAACCCACATATCCACTAAGTTGCCAAATTTTGTCAGTTTTGCCTGCAATGCATCCCATTCTTATCTTAGCCTCTCAAAAACCTTATCTTCTTCAAGACTTAGCTTGCCTGACACCTCTTCCATGAAATCTTCCATAACATTGTCCAGTTGTTAGTATTCTCTTCCTTTTCAGACACTTTGTATTGTACTTACCTACATATATTGCATTGTATGCAAGGGGAGGGAATGACAAATTTCTAATATCATTATCAGTTGCTGTTAGGCATTATAGTTACTTGTGTTGATATCTAGTTTCCTTACTAAACTGTAAGCATTGTGAGGGCAGGGATTGTGTCTTACTAAATTTAGTTTATTACCCAGTACCTATCACAGTCCTTTGCACCATGTGGGTGTTTAATAAGTATTTGTTGCATTTTATGTGTGCCATTTCCTTTGTCATAATTTTTTTAAGGAGGATAAGATGATATTTTTTCATGTAAACTTGGAGAGATCCTTGGCTTTTTACTGTCTTTCACCCATATATTACTTTCAGAGTTTTTTTAATTCTCCCTCCATAACCTTTCTTAAATTTGTCTACTTCTCTCCACTCATACCACCCTAATTCAGGAACTTACCACCTTTTGCTTGGGCAGTTGCAGTAGTGTTCTAATTGTTTTCTGTGTCTTTAGTCTTGCCTCCTTCCAGTCCATAACCCACAGAGCTGCCAAAATCATATTCTTAAAAACAGATTTCTGAGAATGTCATTCCCTACTCAGTAAACTCCAGTAACTCCCTATCCATGTAGGAGATCAAACACAAACTTAGCTGTTTGTCATTTAAAGTCTTCATAACCTGGTTCCAACCTCTCTTTCCAGACTTAATATGCATTATTCTCCTTCACACTCAATGGTCCAGTTAAACTAGCCTCCTTGTTCCTAGTATAAGACACTGCCTTTTTTTTTTTTTCCTGCTCCTTTGCATTGACTCTCTTCTGTGCCTGGATTGCATTGACTGCTCGCACTGAGGTAGAATCCCAGGTTTCCTTCAGAGCTCAGTTCATTTAGTACCTTATTCATGTGATGGTAAAGGCCTTTCTCCAAATTGCTTTCTATTTATTTTGTGTGAAAGCGCACACGCACGTATGTGCATGCACTCACTCTCTCTCTCTCTCTAATAGAATCATATGTTAGAGATGTTTGGGACCTCTCAGGCCATTCAGTCCAATTCCCTCATTTTACAGTTTAGGAAATTAAGGCCCACAGTGTGACTTGCCTCAGGTCATTCAGGTAATAAATGGCAGAACTTGGATTTGAACCCAGGTCTTGTAACTTCAAATCCTATGTACTTTCTTTCTACCTTACCATGTTTCTTGCATATGTTGTTTTCTGTAGTAGAGTAACAGTGCCTTGATGGCAGGAACTGTTTAATTTTTGTCTTTGTATCCCTAACACCTACCTTGTTAAGTACATAGTAAGTACTTAATAAATGCTTGTTGATTGACTGATGGACTATTTTCATTTTTGTCTTCATATCTCTATAACCTACCACAGTGGTTTGTGCATAGTGGGCCCTCAATATTTATTTAAATTAATTGCATTTCTGTAATACTTTTAATTTTTTTTCAAAAACTATGTGATATAATGTTTTCCCCCAAGTGATTCTTTGTGGAGTTAGGACAGGTATTTTCTCTCTGTAGGGCAGCTTTTAAATGGGCTGTCTAATTTCTCTTTTGTGATGAAGCTATTTAGCTTGTCCATTTCTCGTTTTGTTTATTGCAGTATTTTATACTTTTTTTTAAGGTAATCGTTTCTTTTAGTTTTCTAGATTTATTAGTGAGAAGCTATATATAGTAATTTCTGAACATTTTCTTGATTTCTTTTGCCCTTGTTATGATATCTCAATTTTAATTGTTGAATTGGTTGTGTAGGACAAATAATAGACTGTTTCAAGATATAAACACTCAAACAGCAAAAAGGTATAACTGTGTGAGATAGAGATGAGACCTCTTACCCTGTCAAATGTTCTACTGGAATATGATGATTATTGTAAAAAATGAAAGAAAAAAAGCAGTTTTAAAAATCTTACCTGAAAATTATTGTCAGACTGGGATTCTGTTTGCTTTTTAAATAAGTAGTCCTTACTTTTTTTTCTGTTATTGACCCTATAGACCATTTCTCAGACTACTGTTTTTGAAGTCATAAATAATACACATAGAATTGCAAAGGAAACTAATTTACACTGAAATAGTTCTCAAAATAAAAACAAATTCACAAACCCTTAAATTAAAAGTTAATGAAATTATAGATAAAATTTTTCTCCCGTCCAAATTTACAGACCCTCCCCCAAAAAAAAATCTGTCCATAGAACCCTTACAGTGTCTTGTCTACTTAAAAATTGTTTAAAATAAAATGTAGCCAAATATTATTTGCCCTTCTTTTATTTTCTTAGAATTTGTTAAGGTAAAATTTAACACATCTTTCAAGGGTCATGTTGTATCTTTCTTTACTGTACTGTCTTTTTTTCTTATTTGTAAAGACCCTGTGTGGACAGTAATGACCGCACGCTTCCGATTGCCAGCTGGCAGAACTTACAATGTACGAGCATCCGAGCTGGCACGAGACAGGCAACACACAGAGGTGGTCTGCAATATCCTTCTCTTGGATAACACTGTACAAGCTTTCAAAGTCAATGTAAGTATCACATATACAAACGTTATTGCTTTTTTGTTTACTAGTATAAATTTATGTGTGTGTTTAACCTGGCATAATTGAGGGAAAAGCCAGTCTGAATTCAGGGAAAAATATTACTCTTTTAAACAAAGAAAATATAATTAAAATTTTAGAAACAAAGATCAGTCTTAATACCCACATGCTACTGGTGGTGTTGTATAGCTGTAGTTGTGGAACGTTATAGCATTAAAATAATTAAAAATTAACATCTTCAATTCTTAGTAAAAGCATCATTTACACAAGTTTGTCTAATTTATAGACTAATTCCTCAGCAGGCAGTGAGGAAATACATGAGTAAACTGCAACAGGTAATAAGTAATGATTTGCAAAGAAATACCGAAATAATGGATGAAAAGAAATGTACAGTTACAAAAGAAGAAGGGCTGGTCAAGTGATAGAAGATTGAAAAGGGAAAGGTCACCAGGTTACTTTATTGGTATTCTCTTATTCTCAAAAACAAACAAACAAACAAACCCAACAACAATAAAGAAAATCTTGGACACATGGGGGGTGATGAACTTTTGTGAAGGCATGAACAGGAAGCCTATAGGACAGGCTTGTATGGGTTGTAGTTGGCATCATTGGCAGGAGCATTCACAATGATGAGATAATATATTTGAGTAGTTTTACTCTCAAGTATGTATATTGATTCAAACTACTCAGACAAGTATATTATCCCATCGGAGAGCCTCAGAAGACTGGATTTAAGAATAGTTTAGCAATGATTTGGAATTAATCTATCTCGTGTGTGTGTGTGTATGTGTGTGTGTGTGTGTGTGTGTGTGTGTGTGTGTGTGTATGCATGCATATATATATATTCTTCTAAAATGAATTGAAAGTTCTTGAAAACAGTTCTCAAAAATGTTCCAAGCCTATTGCTATTTTATTAATATGTTTAATGACAGGCAAAAAAGCCTAGCCCTTATATGAATTACTTATTTGTTAACCAAAATTTTTGAGTGTCTAGAATGTGTTGCATATCTCACCATATGCCAGGTTCTCTGGTGGGATAGAAAGAAATATAACAAAATAGCTTTGATCTTTTTTATAATAGAAAACAACTTTTGTAAAACAGAAAAGTACTTTATAAACCGCAGATTACTATATGTCAACCATTTTTATTAATAACTTTGATTTCATAACTTTCAGAGCACTATTTACTAAAACCGTTCTTGACTGTTGCATCTTGAAAGCACCTTTGTACTGTGTTGAAAAATTTCATAGTGAATTTTTTTCTGGGAGGTCTGTTAACATTATTAGTATCCAGTATTTGCTTTGCCCATCCCCCAGGTAAGTATCTATTCTGAAGCAAAGAATCTGAGATATAGGATTATTATGATTAAGAAATCATCGAATGGGAAAAACCAAAACCCAGCTTGAGATCTCCACATGAATTTCTGTAACTTAAAATTGTTTTCTAACACACACAAATAGAATAGCCAAAAGGACATCAAAAAGGGAAAAATACTGTATAATATGATGAAACTTTCTAGCCCCTTGGAGTAGAATATGATAGTAGGATTGCACTTTTTTAATTTGGTCAAATTAACTTTTAGTTTCTCAAGAGCAGAAAAAATAATTCACACTTATACAGCATTTTAGGATTTAACAGATGATTTTTGTTACCAGAAATTATTTTGCATTTCCACCATCTAATCCACCAGGTATGTCACTGACAGAAGAAGAGTAAGAAAGACTAAACTAAAACTGGTATCTGTGGAGTTCTTTATAACTTGGACCTTTAAGCATTTCTGATAACTGTACTGTTGTGAAGAAGATCTAGTTAGTCAGTAAGCATTTATTAAGCACCTGCTCTATGCCAGTCACTGTACTGAGCACCAAGGATACAAAGAAAGGCAAAAGACAGCACCATCTCTCAAGTAGTGTAATTAGGGAAACAACATGTAAACAACTATGTACCTATAAGGTATATACAGGGTAAGGTGGAGATAATCTTGAAGGGAAAGCACAAGGTTTAGGAGGACTGGAAAAGGCTTCTTGTAGCCTGGTGGGGTAGGAAAAAGATGAGAAGGAACATGTGTGCTATGCATAATATGTATTAACAGCCTTTAAAATGTATTTAAAATACAAATTTGTCAAAGAGACATCTGTGAAAAGTTAAGCTTAATTCCATAAAACAGTTGTGAATTATGCATTTGTATCTGTTGTGTACTTTTGCAATATTTAAAAATTTCTTGCATTGTTATTCCCAAACTTTGAGGCTATAAATTATACATATTTAACCTTTAAAATAATGTCTAACTTTCTTATGGTGGTTTTTGTAACAATTTTAATTATGCGGTCTTAACATTTATGTGCCTCTTTAAGTTTGTTTCTTCGTTTTTAAAATGAGGTTAGATTAGGCGACCTCTTAGCTCTGAACTTTCTGGGCCGTTAATAAGAATTTTTCCTAGTTTTTCTATCAGTTGAATAAATTTACTTTCAGTTTAATTTGATAGTCTGTGTTCCTTAATATAAATATTTTCTAATTACATTTGGGGTATTGGACCCAGCCCTCAGGATGTTAATGTTTGTTTGCTTGAAAAGCATCTTAATCTCTAGCACACATCAGTCTGTTCATTTCTGCTTTCTAAATTAAGGTTAGAAAAATATGATCTTTAAACAGACTCATGATTTTAAATGGGAAAGAATTTAGAAATAATTTGGTCTAACTTCCTTATTTTATAGATAAGAACAAAAGGACACACACTGAGAAGTACTTTGCCTCTTTTCCGTTTATGTTATTGTATTTGGGCAGTATGTACATTGTAGCAATCTAGTGTTGAAAAAAGTCAGATTAAGACTTTAATCTCAAAGAAAAGAAAGAATGGTATGATGAAAGTATTTATGATAATTTATAGGCTCTTTAGGTAGATAAGGCTGATAACATTTATAGCAATACATTATTGCCCAGGAATTCTTGCTTGAAAAACTGCCTGAAGAACGATGGTCAGAGGCTTGCAGTGTTTTACAGGAGGCAATGACAAAAAACATTCCAAAGAAAAAGAAGAGCAAGAAAGCAAAATGACTGTCTGATGAGGCTTTATAAATAGCTGACAAGAGAAGGCCAGGGAAAGGAAAAAGGGAAAGCTGTATCCTACTGAATGCAGAATTCCAGAGAATGGCAAGGAGATAAGAAAGTCTTCTTAAAAGAGCAGTGCGAAGAAATAGAAGAATAGAATGAGAAAGACAAGAGATCTCTTCAAGGAAGTTAGTGATATCTAGGGAAGGTTTCGTGCAAAAAATGGGCATGATAAAAGACAAAAATGAAGGGATTTAACAGAAGCTGAAGAAATTAAGAAGAGGTGGCTAGAATACACCCCCCAAAAAAAATCTGTACTGGAGAGATCTTAGCATCACTGATAATCATGATGGTGTGTTACTGATTTAGAGCTAGACGCCCTGGAGAATGAAGTCAAGTAGACCTTAGGAAGCTTTGCTAACAATAAGGTTAGTGGAAGTGATGGAATTATAGCTGAACTATTTAAAACCCTAAAAGACAATGCTGTTGAAGTGTTGTGCTCAATATGCCAGTAAATTTGGAAAACACAACAGCCACTAGATTGGAAAAGATCAGTTTGTGTGCCGCTTCTAAAGAAGAACAATGCCAAGGAATGGTCAAATTACCAAAGAATTGCTCTCATTTCACACACCAGCAAGGTTGTGTTTAAGATTCTGCAAGCTAGGCTTTGGCAATATGTGAACCGAGAATTACCAAAAGAGTTTTGGTTTTCAAAGAGGCAGAGGAACTAGAGACCAAATGGTCGTTTGCTGGATTATGGAGAAAGCAAGGGAGTTCCAGAAAAATATCTGCTTCTGCATTGAGTACTAAAGCCTTTAGCTGTGTGGATCACAACAAAATGTGGCAAGTCCTCAAAGGTATGGGAGTACTTGTCTTATTTGTCATCTTACTTATCTCTTGAGGAACCTGTATGCAGGTCAAGAAGCAGCAATTAGAATTGAACATGGAACAACTGATTGGTTTAAAATTGGCAAAGGAGTATGATAAGGGTATATATTGTCCCATTATTAATTTAATTTATATGCCAAGTACATCATGTGAAATGCCAGGCTAGATGAATTAAAAGCTGGTATTAAGGTAGCTGGGAGAAATATCAGCAATCTCAGATATGCAGATGATACCACTCTGATGCCAGAAAGTAAAGAAGAATCAAGAAGCCTCTTGATGAAGGTGAAAGAAGAAGCTTAATATAAAAAAAACCTAAGATCTTGGCAACTAGTCCCATCACTTCCTGGCAAATAGAGGGAGAAGAAATGGAAGCAGTGTCAGATTTTCTACTCTTGGGCTTAAAGATTACTGCAGATGGCAACTGCAGCCAGAAAATTAAAGGACACTTGTTCCTTGAAAGAAAAACTTGCAAATTTGGACAGCTTACTGAAAAAAACATCGCCTTGCAACAAAGGTCCATATAGTCAGAGCTATGGTTTTTCCAGTAACAATGTAAGAGTTGAACTATAAGGAAAGCTGAGCAACGCAAATTGATGCTTTTGAATTTGATGCTGGAGAAGACTCTTGAGAATCCCTTGGACAACAAGGAGATCAAATCGGTTAATACTTAAAGAAATTAATTCAGGCTATTTACTGGAAGATCAAATACTGAACTTAAAGTTAAAATACTTTGGCCACAAAATGAGAAGACAGGTCTCATTGGAAAAGACCCTGGTGTTGGGAAAGATTGAAGGCAAAAGGAAAAGGGGGCAGCAGAGGATGAGGTAGATTGAATACATAACAGAAAAAACAAATTTGAACCTAGACAGACTGAGAGAGAGTGGAGGATGGAAGGGCCTGAGATGGTGTGTTTCATGGGGTCTTGAAGAGTCTGGCATGACTGAACAAAAACAATAACAATTCTTACCTGAATTGATAATACTTTGTAATCTACCGAAGGATGGATGTCTAGGTAACTTGTCAGTAAAGAAAATTTCTATAAATTTCAAAT